GCGGACACAACATCTTTGTTGGTATGTGGTGCTGAGGATCGAACCCGGGCCGCACGCATGCCAGGCGAGCGCGCTACCGCTTGAGCCACATCGCCAGCCCCAAGTTTTTTTTTTTTTTAACCAGTACTGGAGATAAGCCCTGGGTTTTGTATAAAGATTTATGACAAACAAGATCATTAAAAGACACTGGCATTTTTCTTTTCTGAGCGCAAAATTCTTACATAATATCTGTCTTATCATTTATCATTGCATTTTTTTCCCTGTGCTAATATTTGATTTGGACATTTGATTATAATTCCTGCATCATTCAAAATTATTTGTAGATTATTTTAAAGATAGCAGTTGCTGGAAATACCAGTTACCCCAGAATCAGAAAAAAAATGCATGTGAGATATATCCAGTTACCACTGATCTTTTTGAAGTGATTCTTGTTTGCTCTTAAAAAACTACAGATCAAATTATCTGGGTTTTTGCACAGAAAAATTTTAAGGTAACAGATGGAAGGAGGAAACTTCTGGAAAAAGCCTTAAAGGGTATATTAAATTTCTTTTATTGGAAAATACGATGTTGCCTAGTAATATCATGTTTTGATGACACTGTTTTAAAAGGAAGCTGTTACTGTCAAAGAATAGTGGTTAGGTTTTTTGTAGTTTTTGTATTGGAGAGTTGATCCAAGGAAGTTTTACAACTGAGTCACATTCTCAGCCATTTTTTAATTTTTCATTTTGAAACAGTCTCCTTAAATTCCTGAGTGACTCAGAATTTGCATTCCTCCTGAGCTGTTGTGGTTACAGGTGTGTACTACTATAAAATGTAGTTGAGTACTTTTCTTGGGGAATGGGTTAAGTGGATATGGGGACATTGGATGTTTTTTATACAGACTTAAGATCAAGTATCTACAGAATTTTCTTTCTTTTTTCAGTACTGGTGATTGAACTAAGGCATACTTGACAACTGAGCTGCATCCCCAGCCCTGTTTTGTATTTTATTAGAGATAGGGTCTCACTGCATTGCTTAGAACCTTGCTTTTGTTGAGGCTGACTTAGAATTTGTGATCCTCCTGGCTCAGCCTCTGGAGTTGCTGGGATTATAGGTCTGTGCCACCACGCCAGGCTATCCTTCAGAATTTTTATTGAAGTGCCTAGTTTATACCCATTATTGGCATAGGAAAGACTCTTGCCAGTTTTAACTGCTTTAAAAAATTGTTTTCTTTTGCTTTTTAGTAAATGTTAGCTAATTATTTTGGAATTTTTTAATTTCAAAGTGTTTTAGACTCCAAATTGGTTCTCTTCCAAATTGGTTCTCTTACGTAGTGATAACCATGAATTTGAACATTTATCTTTCTTGCTTGGCATTTTGGAATTCTGATGTGTGTTAAGAGCTGTCCATCAACATTTGGTTTGGCTACCTTAATTGCTTTTTTGTGGAGATTAAGGTAGATTATGCTACATATGCTGTTGGTGCTGTATCTAGAGTGGTGTTGATGATCTTTGGCCTTCCAGGGACTCCCATTGTATTATATCAGATGTAGGATGAAGTTTCACCTGAGATCATGTGGTAATTTGAACATCTTTAATTAATCACTCCAATAAAATTTTTAAATGATACCATTAGAATGTAAGCTCTGTGGACAGTATTTGGTACTATGGTATATCATGCATGAAAACTGGTTTTTCAAGATTGACTTGAGGATTGGATGGTTATCAAATAGAAGACTCTGCTCCTTTCTATGATTTGAGATTCTTCAGAGTGTTTCAAAAAGATGAAAGGGTAATAAACTAATCTTATGGTATTCTTGAAACCTTGTTAAAGATTGGAGCTTATTAGAGGAGGAATGGACAGCTGACTTAAAAGATAAAAGACACTGTGAAATAAAGGTTTGCACTTAAAAGCATTTCAGTGGAGTTATAGAAGAATTGATCCTTTAACATCTATTATTTATAGGTTTTAAATAATCAGAGAACATTGTATTCTTTGGCTTAGTTCCCCTGGTTCTCTTTTGTTTGACATCTTCCCCCAACCAGTTTTATCATCATCACCATCGATTTTAATTATTAAATGCCTGACCTCATTCAAGGTTATCATATAAAAGTTAGTATAGGGTCATTATGAGTTGATTGCTATGTATTATCACATGATAAATCAGTGGATAAATCTAGAGGGAATGAATTATTGATTGCATTTTGTATAAAAAGACTAACTTCTGCCTAAGTTTCTACATTGCTGTAGCTCAAGAATGGTTTGTGGTAGAATCTGGAATTTTGTCTATTAGGGGTAATGAATGAGACTTAGTAAAAGCAATGTGGCTCAGACTTCTCATAAATGAGAATGATAAATTCAGAATTCTGTAGTGAACATAGGAATTCTAATTTGTTTAAGGACTACTTAAATTACAGAAGGATTCAATGGAATTTGAAGAGGGTTATGTTGACAGTATTCTGTGAGGAGGTTTCCTCCTTCACACCTTAGATATGACAACTAGAGCTCTTGGAATAACCTGGAGCAGAAGTTTGTGTTTTTTTAAGGATATATTGAAGGACACTAGTCCATGAATAATAATATTCTAGATGCTATCAGAATGTTTTAAGTTGACCAGTAACTCTTGGTATTCATGGTGATAGTACTGAGAACATTTTTTCAGGGAATATTATTTTTAGCCATTTTTTCACCTGAAAATTTTTTTTCCCTAACAGTTCTTCCGCCTTTGTGAGGAACCTTATCAAACACGATGGCTAGCAACGTTACCAACAAGACAGATCCACGCTCCATGAACTCCCGTGTATTCATTGGGAATCTAAACACTCTGGTGGTCAAGAAGTCTGATGTGGAAGCAATCTTCTCCAAGTATGGAAAAATTGTGGGCTGCTCTGTCCATAAGGGCTTTGCCTTCGTCCAGTATGTTAATGAGAGAAATGCCCGGGCTGCTGTAGCAGGAGAGGATGGCAGAATGATTGCTGGCCAGGTTTTAGGTAAGGTCTGGATTGAATTTTTTTTTTTTATGGATATTATGTAGGCCAGAATTTTTCTATTTTTTGTTTGTTTTTCTTTACCTCTCTCTAATGTTGAGTCTATTACACTCTTTGGATATTGTGACATAACTTCAACCTAATAAAAATATTCTGTTTATATGTATAATGGGTTAAAAAGGTATTTGTAATTTTGAGGTAGAACCCAGACCACCTTAAGGTGGAATTCTTGATTAGTCTGGTAATAACATTTTATATGGAAATGTTATTATTCTATTCCTCATATAGATTGGAAGTCACAGAAGAGCTTAGTGGATGGCTTCAGGATATCTTGTTAATTATAGACTGCCTTAGCTTTGAAGTTTGTCTTTGTGAGTTAAAATGTAGATAATTATAGTACTTATGTCTATTCTTAAATGAGGTTGATTGTATTGAGTTACACTCAATAAAAAATGTACATTGTAGTTATTGGGAAAAAGCTTATTACAATCATTTTTTCTACATTCTTAAGAATCCACAAAGTGTATGCCTTTTTTTACCTCTAAAATGGTTTGTGGTAAAAATGAACTTCAATGAATTCTTCAAAAATGTCATAAAATGAGCTGGGTGTGGAGGTACATGTTTATTATCCCCAAGACCTGGCAGCTTGAGGCAAGAGGATCACAAGTTCAAGGTCAGCCTGAGCAACTTAAGACCTCAAAATAAAGTTTCAAAAAAGAATTATAGTTTTTATTCAGTGGTAAAGTGCCCCTGGGTTCAAGCCCTAGTAATAAACAAAAGTCTTAATTTTTTAAAATAAGTGATGATATTTCTAACCAAATGTAATCCGAACTGACATCATAGGTAACAGTTCATAATAATTCCATCCACATTGATTTTTTTTCCCTTTATTGCCTCAAATATAAATTATTTACTTATTTTTACTTTACCGGCAATTGGACCCATGGTCATTGTATCATTGAACTACACCACTACCCCTGGCATTTTTCATTTGGACACTGGATCTTGATGGGTTGCTAAGACGATCCTTGAACTTACTGTAGATGGGACACAGAATTTCTTTATTTTATTTAGGGTTTTTAAAAAATTTTTAAATTTAAATTTTTTTTATGTGGTGCTGGGGATTAGCACCACATAAAAAAAATTAAATTAAATTTATTGGTAAATAAATTTAATTTACCCCAATAAATTGGTAATTTATTGGGGTAATTGAACCCAATGTCTGATGCATGCTAGGCAAGTGCTGTACCACAATTCCAGCCCTGTCCTTAAACCTTAAATCCTCCTATCTCAATCTCCCAAGTAGCTGGAATCACAGATGAGCACCTCTGCTCACTGCTTTCAAACTTCAATCCTCTGTCTGCCTAAGAAATTGACTAGGTACCTTTTAAAAAGATTTTCCTTTTTTTCCCATGCATATGAAGTCAGTGTTAATATTATAATCAACAGCACATCTGAATGTAGTCTTAACTACATTTCAGATATCAGTAGGTCAATAAAGGTTAGTGTCTTATTTTAGTAGGCCTTGTAGAGATTGGAAGTAAGGTTCAATTTATATTAATTTGCTACTTGACTATTTCATGAATAGAAATATGATTATGTACATCTTATGTATCAGGTACATTAGCATGGTTGTCCCATTTCTTAGTAATGTTAAGACTTATCTTGTGGGCTTAAGCTCTATAGATCCCCATTCATTATAGCTTCCCAACAATTTTTATCTTGCTATTCTGCATTGATGGTCATTCATTGGATATTTTAATAGGGATCCAAAACACGGGTTTTCTAAATCTGCATACAGTAATTTTCCCTAAATAAATTCCTTCTGCAAACATCAGATAAATCTTTGTTTTAAATCCTGGTCTTTCACATTCTGATATGTGGAACAAATATTTTTGCAGACTCTAAGTATATTGTATTTATTATCACTATGAATATGTATTTTTTAAAATTGATGGTTTAGTTTGTTGCAGAAATTTTTTTAGATCCCATCAACTGTTTCTTTATTAAAAACCTTACTTGTAATGTTACATAATGTCCTTGCTTTAGTCAGTACAATAAGCCCCGTTTTCCGACTTTGACTTGAAATAGGAACAATTGCTCCTTTTCATGGAAAGACTTCAAAACTAAAGCTCCATATCCTATGCATATTTGTGTTTCATTCCTTCAGGCCAGTTTAGTGAGGCATATAGAGGCATTTTCTTGAAAAGAAAATATATAGGAACATTGGGTGACAGAAGGTAGTCTAGTGTGTTTTTTATCATCTACTTATGAGAATATTTTATAGAAGTTTGCAGCTGGTCTTATTTGTAAAGGAAGTAAAAATTTAACTTTGAGAGTGTCACACTTGAAGTATGTTAATTTTTTGTGATTTGACATTTTATCTTTTGTTAGTCACACATTCTAGTAGATTTATTAGAAGAGTCGAGTTTTGAAGTTGGAGCTGAGGGTAGAGATTGCCAAATATATACTTGGGTGATGTTGGGATAATAATAACTACTGAAAGGTTGAATCATAGCCTTTTATGTACCTTATAAGAGAAGTTTGAGACAATGTTGTTAATCTTTTGCTTGATATGATTGTATTTCAAAAACTTAGTTTGTGGATTCTTTAATATCCAGAGTTGTCATTAAGGTTTTTCTTTTTGTTTTTGTGTTTTTCAGATATTAATCTGGCTGCAGAGCCAAAAGTGAACAGAGGAAAGGCAGGTGTGAAACGATCTGCAGCGGAGATGTACGGGTCAGTACCAGAACACCCTTCTCCGTCCCCTCTACTCAGGTCCGGAACTTTATTATTTATAACTGCATTGTGTCCATCAATGGGCATCTTCTCTATCTGTTTTCTGGTTGTGGGGAGGGTTTAATGTAATGTGTTTTATTAGTACAAAAGTAATTCTTTAGTAATTATTTATTTTGTGTTAATGTACCTCACTTTGCCCATTTCCTAGAGAATTATTATAAATCCTGACTTGTTTGCAATTAAAGAGTATTTTTGTATTCATAGAATAAATTAAAATCTGTTAAGAGTTGTTTAGATTCTTAGAAGCTGGGAAATATTAAAGGGAAAAATAGTGATATAAGCTTTATTTATTATTGTAACGTTCAGTTTTCTTGTTTTAGCTGATAATGTTATATGTTAGCATTATTGATTTTGCCATTGCATGTGCAGTGGTCTAAAATGTTTAGAATTTAGTGATTCATTGTTTGAATGTTTTTTAATTATTCCATGATAATTTTTAAAATCTATATGTTATGATTTGTTTGGCATGTTTTTCCCCCATCTGCTGTAGTGAAGTAATTTCAACAGCTCCAAATTAATTTTCCTCGTTATTTATTTTTCAGCTCCTCTTTTGACTTGGACTATGATTTTCAACGTGATTATTATGACAGGTATGTTCAAGGTCTTTTTTAAACTATCAGTAAATACCATTGTGTTTCTATATTGTAGTACGTTTTTTCTCGACATAATGAATAGTGTTTTTGAAGAGATAATCTCTTTTCATCAAAATAAAATGAAGTAACCTCACCCCCAATTGTCAAGTATACTTGGTAGAGAATCATAACTGTTGATTCCAAAGAATCAGCATAGTTAGGGTATCAAAGCAAAATTATTAAGTGCTTTTTAAAAAATACTTTTGAAAAATCCAAAAGTCTGCTTTGAACATTAATAAGAAATAATGTAATAAGTGAGCAGGAGGTCAAGAATGAATAGTTTAAATTGGTATAAAAGTTAAAATATTTTTTTTTGTGTGTGTAGTATAGTTCTAAAAGATAAGATTGGTAGTATAATGATTAAAATTTCTTTTTGTGCTTTTAGAACAGAATTAACGTTTGTTAGAGAAATAACATTTGAAGAATTGCTTTACTTAATGGTTTAAATGTAGGTAGATACAGTATTTGTTTATTTAGGTAAATGCTGTACCACTGAGCCACAGCCCCAGTTCCTATGAATGGCTTTTTTTTTTTTTAAAGAGAGAGTGAGAGAGGAGAGAGAGAGAGAATTTTTTTTTTTAATATTTATTTTTTAGTTCTCGGCGGACACAACATCTTTGGTATGTGGTGCTGAGGATCGAACCGGGGCCGCACACATGCAATGCGAGCGCGCTACCGCTTGAGCCACATCCCCAGCCCCTATGAATGGCTTTTAATGATGATTTTTTTCCTTTTTCTCAGTAACCTTTATAAAAAAGTGTAGGATTTAGAATTAGTATAGGACTTTTCTGATAGGGAGTGAATTAATATGCTAAAAAATGTGGCCACGTTGACATTTCACTATCTTTTACTATCTGTAGTATTTAGAAAGAAATGATGTGTTCTATATACATAATTCATATATACTTTAAAATTTACAGTTAGAGCATACTACTAGTTTTTTTTCACTTCAGAATGCCAGTGTTCCAAACATTAAGCAGACATGGTAGCTCATATTTATAATACCAGCTCCTTGGTAGGCTGAGACAGGAGGCTTGAGAGTTCACTGCCAGTCATGGTAACTTAGTGAGACCATGACTCAAAGAAAGAAACAATAAAGGACTCAGGCAGAACCCCCATAGGTCAAGTGAAAATTTCCATGTTCGTGAAATAACACACATTATTTTATATTATAATATCAGAAGGATAAGGTGGGTAAAATAGTTGTTTCATTTTCCCCTAAGTCCTTGAATTTATTTATATATGTTCAGTGCTAAGAATTGAACCCAGGGCCTCACAAGTGATAGACAAGTGCTCTGTCAAATCTATTTATTTTTGTGTGGTGCTGAGGTTTGTACCCAGTGTCTAACCCATGCAAGGCAAGCAAGCATTCTACCACTGAGCTGTAGTCCCAGTCCCAGCCCAGTTAAAACCTATATTTTGAAAACCAGTTTTCTTATGTGAATTCCTGAGAAAATTTGGAACTTACCATGACTTTGTATTTGATAGAATAGATGTGGACATTTCTTTGCTATTTAAAATTTGAGCCTGTTGTGGTAGGGGCATACCTGTTTTATTTGTGATCAGGGTCAGATGATGCAGGAGGATGAAGAGTTCCAAGCCAGTTTTAGCAGCTTAGACTCTATCTGAAAATAAAAGAGCTTTGAGTGTGCCGCTGTGGTAAAGTTCAATCCTCAGTTAAAAAAAAAAAAAAAATGCCACACCCAAAATTGAAGTCACACTTTTAAGTGACTTGCAGGCATTGAAACCTATGAATTATTTTGAAGCGGCCACATTTAATGCTTATGATAATCACTTGGTTTCCCAAATACTCATACATACCTTTCAGGGATTGTAAACACAGCTGATTTTAAGTAGACTCTAAGGTGCTGCTTTTTGCCTTTTTATTTTAAGCTCACCAACATGTTGTTGTTCAGTTATGGCTGGCAGTAACACGAGAATAAGGAATATAGCTGGACTTGTGGCTCAATGCTAGTACTGGGTTCAATCCCCAGCACCACATAAAACAAAATAAAGCTATTGTGTCCATCTACAATTGAAAATATTAACTCAAAAAAGAATTAAGAAATGAATTTATTTCTTGGAGTATTACTCTGTGTCTATGTCATGGCAGTTTTTTAAGAAAATTCTAGAATGTTTTGATACAATTTGGGAGATATCCCCATCTCAAGCTTGTGATACAGTTTATATCTTTATGAAGACAACCATCCTCATGGAAAAGTTACTTTTGGGCAGTCATTGTGATTGAACCTGGAGGTGTTTAACCACTGAGTCACACCCCTCAGCCCTTAGTTTTTATTTTAAGATAGTGTCTCACTAAGTTGCTGAGGCTGGCCTGAATTTGGCAGCCCTCCTGCCTGGGATTAAAGGCAATATGCCATTGTACGTGGCACTTACTGTTTTTCTCATGTGAGGTTAAGCTTCATATTATCTCACTATAAGTAAATAAGTTTGAAAACAATCGTTCTTCTGAGGTATTTGAAAAAAAAAGTTAAGAGTAGAAACAGACTGGGGCTCGAGCTGGGCCTCAGCAGTAGTGCACTTGCCTGACATGTGTGAGGGTTTGATTCTCACCACCACGTACAAATAAATAAAAGTCTATCATCAACAACTAAGAAAATAAAATTTAATTAATAAAAATTAGAGATAGACTGCAGAGAGTAGTTTAGAAATTATAAATATGCATAATTAGTTTTAAATTTCGTAAAATTGCTGTTAATCTTAATGATTGATGGTCCTATTCTTCAGTTTTTCAAATACCTTTAAGATATTCTCAGCTTGTACTTTAATATTCTTCCATTTTAACTTCAGCCAACAGGAAAAAGTTTCTGATAACTGATGTAGCCACTAGGTGTAATATTTGATTGCCCTGAAGTATTGAGCTTTGTAATGGGGAAGTAAACATGTTCATTCAAGATTTTTTGATAACCATGCATTTGTGAGTTAATTGGGGAATTTAACTCATGTTTTATAATGTAGATGTGTAAAAAATGGAAGAGTGTTCCCTTAGTCTTGTATGGGAAATATTCAGTAGAAATGTGCTTATTTGAGAAATAAGTTGTTAAGTAGGATCTCAGAAATATTTGGCTCGATAGGAATTGGTAGGGAATCAAATCTTTAGAGAAATGTAAATCATTCTGAAGATACATTTGTTTATTTATTTTTTAGTGGGGGTTTGAACTCTTGGTTGTATTATTTTTAGACAGGGTCTTACAAATTTAGGGGCTCACTAACTTCAACCACGCTATCCTGATACTTGTATTCTTATTACCTTGGCCTCCCAAGGTGTGTGAATTCAGGTTTTTGTTAGTAGTTAAACAAGAACCTTGGGTTCTATCAAAAAATATTTTTTTAAATGGTGAATTCACCTTTTATTTATACTATGGAACATTTGACTTTCTAAAATACACATCAAATATATGTAAATGAGAATAGTGTAATGAGTTGTCACATAATGTCATCCAATACCTGATCAGTTTTCTACCAGTTCGTTGTATTATTCTGTCTTGTGTATTTCCTGAGAATTGGTAGATCAGTCTGCAGGATTTATTAGATTTAGGGTTTTTTTTTTCTCTCTCTATTGTTACAACTATAACAATACTTGGTGCTTTAATCACGAATGGCCTACTTTTTTGAGAGGAACTATAAGAATGTTAAGTATTTTGCATGGGAAAACTTCTGTTTTACCAACTAGAAAGTAGATAGTTATAACATTGCATTTTGTTTAAGGAATTCATGATTAATAGTTTATTATTTTTGTGCCTTTTGAGTGGTCAAGTACTCAAACTCTAAATTATATAATGGGGGGGTAGTAAACAGTTAAAAACTTAAATATCTTTGTGTCATAGTACTAGGAATGTAGTTCATTATGAGCTCTTATCTAGCATATCTCCAAACCTAAATTCAGTCCTCAGAATTTTAAAAAATGTGAGTCATTTATATTCATAATGTCCTGTTTTATGAGAAGGCAATCATTCAATACAGTGATGCATTCAATACCCTTACATGTTGCAGTGCAGTAGGGTACTGATTTTTGTTATTACCTATTTTATACTTTATCTTATAGTGTAGTGATGTTATATCCCAATGTTTTCATTTCCATTTGTCATGACAGTGTTTCTTAAATTACTTCAGTAACTTATTTAGCTTGCAACCGCATAAAAGTTCTTAGATGCATAATTTGCCAGTGTATGGCAAATTACTGTTTTAGACTTGCTCTTTACTATATCATGCATAGTTTATTATTCTCTATAGATTTGTTGGTCTGGGGTTGTGGCTCTGAGTTAGAGTGCTTGCCTACCATGAGTGAGGTCCTGATTGGTTCAGTCCACAGCACCACATATAAATATTTTAAAAAATAAGATTTGTTACCTAACATTTTCCTGTTACTTATAGGAGCCTAAAGTAGCTTTGAACTTTGACATATATATTGATGTCTTATCTGCAAGTTACATATAGATATATCTATATGTAGATGTATGTAAATATTTATCTAAAGGCGACCTGTATGCCTGTAATCCCAGCAATTTAGGAAGCTAAAGCAGAAGGATTGCAAGTTCAAGACCAGCCTCAGCATCTCAGTGTTGCACTGAATAACTTAGGAAGACCCCGTCTCAGAAAATACAATGGGTGGGAATATAGTCTAATTGGTGTAATTTCTTCTAACAGTATGTTTGGCAGAATGGTAAACAACAGGATAGGCTGTGCTTTGATTATTTGAAAATCGTTGTAACTGTGAAACTTTGTTCTTATAGGACCAGTGTCATTAAAATGGCTTTTTAGTCATTTCAATTAATTCACTTTAAAAATTACTTCTCATTCAAAGAGTATTAGTCATCATTCCAGTAGTGTTTGCAATAAAAGTATGTTTTGTGTCCCCAACTTTATTTAGTATACAGTAAACTTCTGAGTTATAAACTTCCAAATGATGAAAGAAACCTTAACTAAAAAAGAAATTT